ATAAAAATTTCATTTCCTTTTCTGCGGACCTGGAGTTACTAAGCAGAAGGACAGACATCTGGGTTTTCCGCAACGCCTTTATACAATCAGATGGAACACTGCCAGAAAGAAGTCATTCCTCTGATTGACCTACTTCGTAAAATGCTGTGGGGACCATTCAACCCATTCGCACTTCGGTAATCTTTGCCTACTCCAATTATTCGGAACCATTTTCAGTTTAAATCAGAACATAGACGCGAGCTGTAAAGCCCTGGTAATGGCCTGGGAGCTTTATTTCCCACCAGGTCAGGCTATATCGGGGAAGCTTTTGTCCATTCGGATATGTTCGGAGAAGACAGCAGAATCATATTTTTCAGCAGCATCGATAAGTTTTTGCTTGAAATTCTGATCTGTGTACTGTTAGTGGTTTCTGAGTTAATGGTCTTTGCAGAAATCGTAGAAAAAAAAGATGGCGTGTCGCGGCTGCCCTGAGTTTTTTTCCTCGGAAGCGTGGCTCTCAAAAGGGAAACTTCCTACTAAAAGTGCGCTCCTTTACAGTTGGAGTGCCTTCTTGCCATTCCATTAAGACATAGAAAAGAAACTCAATAGGGCTCTTATCAAGGGTTCAGTGAAAAAGCATAGAATTCGAAGGAGGTCTGAATGAATTGTCAATAGTGCTGGTGACAAACGTGAAGACCAAAACTACTACGTGAGCTTCGCCAGCGAAACAGGAGCGGTCAGTTGACAAGAAATGCAGCGTAAATGTGGAAGGAGAAAAATCTATCCGCAACAGTAGTTTGATTTTTCTGATGCTTTATTTGTAGTAGTAGACGGGTAGCGTGATCACGAGTGTGACGCTCACTTCCCCACATTCCCGTCAGCCACTGAACCATTTCGGGCCCCAGCTTTATTTTTGCTGCTTTTCATGTCAACTTTGACCGCTCACAACTTGCTTGAAAGATTACGCAGCATTTTCGTTTTCCATATTCGTGACTAGTATCTTCACTCTACCGGTTCGCCTAGGTCTTCAACGAGAACTGAAAGGCTTCCCTGGTCAGAGAGGAACCAGACCGTTTCGTTTATCTTGAATTCCATATTTACATTTTTCTTAATATTCGTATACTTACTTCGTTATCGCCGCATACGCCATCACTTCCTGCACGGGCTCTTCCTGGAGTTCTGTAAACGGACCTGATTCAATGATTGCAAAAAAATCAGTCCATAATCCCACCAGCACCCCTAGGGCGAACCACTACCTTAGAATATCTGTCGTCCACAGAATTAGGATATGATAGGGAGCGGTGAGAAAAACTTATTTCCACCCGAATAGGCTACTTATATGTATTGTACTGACAATGTTCCATGATGCTATGCATGTGAGAGAACCAAAGTAGTTCTTCGTATACAGAAGACAACCGCCAAGTCCATTCGATCATTTTACAAGTGTTGAAGTTGTGACATCGCAAGACTAATGGACTCAGCACTTGCACCAGCGATCGGTTCATTCTCCCAGCTCCACAACCGCTCCATTCTGGCGGTGGTGAATGGGGAATAGGCGATCGTCACCAACCAAGAAGGAAAACCAAACCAATCCTGAGGTTTCGATTTGATTCGGTGCCGTGATCTCTTTATTCAATAGCACCCTTTTCGAGTGCTGTATAAAACCCTTTGTAGTATCTATGGCTGGATTTCTCGGCTAGAAAATCGGAGATTTCAATACATCTAGGACATTGATAGCACAGGACCTGTGTTGTCCATAACAACCTAACCCCCCCCCCCCCTTCAAAAAGCGAGAAAGTGTCGGGTGCAGAACAAACACCACAACTGGCGACATTCTCTCAGCTCCATAATCGCTTCATTCTGGCGGTGATGAATGGGGAGAAGTCACCAACCAGGAAGCGGATATGATACCGCCAGGACATTCCTGTGGCACCATCTCAAGGATCGCTTGAGACAGACATGTCCTGGCGGTATCACCCTTTGTAGTATCTATGGCAATGTGCAATCAAGTGCCGTTACCCAGTTTCTGCCGTTGGCGCCGTCCACACTTTCATCCCCCGAGCTTGAGTAACCGCCACTGGCCCCCCACGTGGTGGTACGGTATCTGCGGACCGCCCCCATTTTCAGTATATAAACCCCATTGAATGCATTTTTATTGTCGATTCTTACACTTGCACGTGCATCTTTTCGGGGATAATGAAAAAAGGATTCTTCCCTCCACATTACC